TTCCCTGCGATATTAAGTATTAATTTCCATCAAAAGCATTTTTAGTGATAGATTACGCATATCATCAAAAATCATTAAAAAACTGTGTTATGTGTTTAAAGGAAAATACTTTTATTTTTTAATACATTATATTCATAATGATGTCTGTGTAGCATTATGGTAAAAATGAGTTGAATTGTATAATAGATAGAGAGTGTAATTAAGTGTTACGCAATTAAATGTAAAATAAATTTTCATACTTGTAAAAGGATCGTGCCTCTCACGAATGAGGAAGATACTGCACAGTATTCAATGATACGATTTATTTTTTAAATCCAATATATAAATTTAGAATTTGAAGCAATTTAATTATATAAAATTTATCTCTATACGTATAATATAAAATACTTTGAATCGAAGATATAATTATTTCACAATTACAATTATGATTATTTTTTTTGCGATTTTATTTCATTCAAAATTAAAAAACTTAGATTTAATTTCCGCTAATATACAGAATTTTCGATATATTGCAAACGTTTATAAAAATAAAAATAAAAATTTTATAAAAAATTATAAAGTTAATTTCTTAATTGCTAAAAATACCTTGTCATATTTTATTTAATGTTTTATATTTTAAGTATATTTTACGAAAAGCATTTAAAATAATAGAAAGTCTAACATTTCATTTAAGTATATTGATCATAATATTAACAAATTTTCACTTTTGTGTTTATCATTTAATAAATATTAAAATATCTACTTAATATTAAATTCTTAAACAACTGAATTTTTATTTTTAAAACGTCACCAAATTATAGTTGGATTGTTAATTTCTAGCATGTATAAGTCCTAGTATTAATAATTCTTTACCTAATTTATGCATACTACTCCTATTATTGAACAGAAAATGTGAACAAAAATATAATTTAATGATACGAAAAAAGATTTTCATCACATTTTTACATAGTTTAAATATATATATATATATATATATATATATATATATATATATTTAAACTATGTAAAAATGTGATGAAAATCTTTTTTCGTATCATTAAATTATATTTTTGTTCACATTTTCTGTTCAATAATATACTAATATATAATCATTAAGAAAATTTTGAAAAATATAATAGAATAATTTTATATAAGTATATAATGTAAAACCTATTAAACATTTCTAAATTTGCTAATTGATCATTTTCTTTGTCCTATTTGAAATACATTCATTCCGAATTAAAACAATTAAAATTCCAATAGAATTTTAAGAGAATTTTTTAAATACAAAAAAAAATTAAATAAATTTATTATATATATATATATATATATATAAAACATTAATATTTTGATTGATGAATGGGATTAACAAGTTTAGGGATCAGGTTACATTCAAATAAATAAAAATGCAATTGTTTTTGGTGTTTTACATACATAATATATTTTTTTTTTATTTTTTTTTTTAATGCTACTTGTTAAATGCTATAAACGATAATGAAGATAAAATGAAGATTCGCAAATGCTAAGATTTGTTTGTATTGAGACTTTAAATAATACGAAAGATTGCGTAATTACATAATAAAGTATATGTGATCCTTCATGAGCAAACATTTAAATTGCTGAGTTTTACGTTTATCCCGTTGAAAAAAAAAATACAATCAAAAATACATTTCTCGCATTATACAACTAAAAGTGTCACGCGATATTTCGACTCTTAAAACTAACCGTTGAGCGAAATGCTGTAGAACATTTGCGCACATTCTAGTGAAATCCGCTTCGCTAAAAAAATAGAATAATATCACGCATGTACATTCGACTCCCAATCGTTGAGAAAAATAATATTATATTACAAATTCGAAGCGAATCAACCGTGTTCGGTTGTCAAATTAATAATTATTAAAAAATAATGAGAATAGTCGAAAAATAAGTAGAAGATGACGTCGAACGATAAATTTACATCTTTCTTTCTCATCTCTCTCTTCCCCCCCCCCTCCCCCTCACTCTCTCTCTCTCTCTCTCTCTCGCTTTCTCTCAAGATGAAAGGTATGCTTTTTATACAAATAAATTCTTTATACTCTTGATTTATCAATCACAACATACATTTATTATAGAACGTGAAGGATCCGTCAAGGACATTTCACTTTGGTAAAACAGACATAACACAAATTATATAATTTTATGATACAATTTTGTCTTTAATTAAATATATATAATCATATATGATCATACACACGTATATAGACAATTCATTGTACAAACAAAATTGATAAAAGTTTATACATCCCATTTTATAAATAGAATTTTAATTTACTTAAGAAACATATTCTGTTATGAATTATAATAAAAACGCATAAAAATGGATAAACGAAAATTCTACGTAATAGTGTTGTAAGGCAATGTTTTACAGTAATTTTCTTGGCGCTTCGTTTTTATTTTTTCGCAAATTGTCACAATAAAAATGTCACTCTTAAAAAATCACAAGCCAGTTTTTTTTTTTGTTTTTTTTTTTTTGCCAAAAGCGATATACGTAATTATGAGTTTCTTTTTATACAATTATGAATTATTTTATAATTAACGGGAAAAAAAATGATAATATACTGATTTTGATCGTGTACATAAACATAAACGTTTATGCAAAATACTTTATACATCCGTGTATGGTTATGTACATTTAAAAATAATTAAACATTAAGAATTTTATTTTTTCCCGTTCTATCTTAGGTGCTTGTGTGCGTGACGCCGAGTCTTCGACTGTCGTTCGAGTCTTGCTAAGACACTTGAACAACGATTGGAAGACCATCTAGAAACGAGAAATGCACATCTCTCAAATAAAAAATCACTATTATTCGAGCTCTCAGCTTTACACAGTATGAAATAGACGTGTACACAAAAGCATGCATACAACTTTAATATTGGTATTTTCTATATATATAATGCATGCCTCGACCGCTCGAAACAATTTTCAACGATATAGATTAGTATTTATGCAATTAATTAAGCCGCAGATTCAGGTCCAAGAATTTAGCTTGTTATGCATATAGTGAGTACTCTTTTCTAAATCTGCAAGATCTTGCTCAATCAAAAATAGTTCCTGCCTAATGGAAAAACTTTCAACAAGTGATTCGCTATTTTATAAAAATCGTATTTGTTATTCGTGCTGAATCAAAAAAATGACGGCGGTCTTTCAAACAAATTTGTTTGTTCATTGACCCGGTTGCTCAGATTAATACCGGTATTACCTGTTAAAGCATCTTATATTCTTATAGGAATTCTTCTGACTGAATTATATAAGCATACTCACACTAATAAGTAGTGAAAATAAATACGTAGTCCTATGCAATTCACAATTATAAAGATGATAAATTTCATTAAGAGCTTGTCAAATATTATCATTACATTGATTGTTTAGCTTTTTCAGTCGATTTTGTGAATTAAAGGTAGCATAAATATAAATACTTCAAGACAACATGCAGTATAGTCTTAATGATCATAAATTGGTGCAAAGTTGTTCTTCTACATAAGATAATTAATGTTGCACTAGCTCTTTATATACTCATAGAAGCTCAGAAAGCAAAGGCATATTTAGATTGTGGTTATTCAGACTTTCTTTTGGCAGGATATCGCTCTATTTCAATTTACTAATCTGACTGATAGAACAGTGAACCAGAATCAAGTGAAATTTCTGTAGCAATTACAGGTTTTATTGGAACACCTTATATCAGTATATGCCCTGTACATTTCCAATCTGAAGAAACTTACTTCTCACATTGATGTAAAATTAATTGGTGACATTTGTATATTACCACAATATTTTTGTTGTTAAGATATTCGACTACAAATTAGCATATTCTTAATACTCTAGGACATGTATCTAAATGGTAACTTGTCATAAGTATTATTAATTCAAGAGATAATTTTTTTCACAATGAAATTAACAAGAATGAAGAACCAGCACTAATAACGGCAAATACTACAAATTGATCAGCAACCTAGTTAAACATTATCAACTCCTCTTATCAATCTCGATTCTTTTATATTAGTAGCTAATTAAAGTAAACATTAACTTAGCACATTATAAGCTTTAATTACAATATTGCAATAATTAATTGGAAAAGTAAAGGTTCTTAAATATTTAAAGGTGAGCTATTTGTATCAAGGACCTGATTCACATAGCTAATTAGAGATAAAAAAAGAAATAATCGTGTTTTCTATCTCAAATTTTTGTATCTTCAAAGTATTTCCAAGTATTTCAAATGAAATAAAGAAAAGGAGTAGAAAAGTAAGTTAATCATATTAACACAAAATAACTTAAAATATTATAACAAATATTTAGAGATTTAGTAACTTCTTTAGTCTTCAATGAAATAATTATTTAAAATAGCATTGGTCTGCGTAAATAATAAAAATATTATTAATATTCTCTGGAGTTGATTAAAAACAAAAATATGTTAATTAAAATAACATTGCTTTTCAAAATCAGGAATAACACAAAAATTTGAGTATTTTTCTCTTCGATGCACATATTTCATTTTTTCTTCTGTGCAATAATATAGTTTAACAAAAATGCTCAAAAATACACTCACCATTTATACGACTATTTATATATCATGATTAGAACATAGCAGATTTATATGTCATCTAAAATCTATAAAAATTTCCAAAGCAAGTTTTTTTTGTCTTTTTTTTAATAGAAAAACCTTCCTCTAGAAAGTAAGCATGTGCAGACTCTAGAATCTCAGAAAATGAGTCTCTCACAGCCTGAATTAGACTTGCATTTGAGATCTTTTGAAGTCCATTTAGAAAAAGAAAACTAGAAAATAGAGAAAGAGAATGAGCGAATGGAGGGCCCAGAATCCATATACCGACAGCCTGCTTGAGACACTTTTATTTGAAGGACACAAATTTTAGTAGATTATCTTGATATTTAAATATTTAAATATTTAACGGACTTGTAAATATGCAAATATGTAAATATTCGACCGAATAACAATTTAATTAATTTTAATACAATTAGTATTTGACTATATTTTTCTATTTTTGATGCACGTGTTTTTTTTTTATTATGCCTTACTTTGAGCACGAGAGAGAAAGTAAAGATAAGATAAAGGAAGATAAGATCAAGGAAATTACAATGGAATTGTGATGTAATCAACTAAACCGGGATGTCTTTGAGAGAAAGCTCAATGACTGGACTAGTTTGAAGCGAGGCTCACAAGTTTAGCAAAAGTGACATAACAATATTTTTTAATTTATGATACAAATATAGTAAATCCTCCTACGATTTTTATTTAAGTACCTGTTTGAATGATTTGCCATTATAACAGTGTATAAATATTTATCAATAAATAGATGGAACAACTTAATCTGAAGATATATAAAATAATGTTTCAGGCAGGAGACTCCATTAATAAAAATAATAATTATAGAAACTTATTATCGATCATACAAACTATGATAAAATTCTTGTGTATTAAATTTTATGAATATATAAACAAACACGTGCTTTCTTACTCACTTTTTTGACAATTAACATATCTAAAAATTGGACAGCATTAAACCTGATTTTCGCATTACGTTTTTAAGTATAACTACTCTGCGCATCTTTTTTTCATCTAATTTGACGTTTATAATCTTATATCGTTGACTCGCAACGCCTAACAGAATTCTCTGAAGATAATCATTCGACCTTGGGTAAAAGGGGAAAAGGATTCTGGACATTTCAGTAATCTAAAGATCTGTTATTCTGCATAAGTAAGAATAATTAAGGAACCTCTACGACGATTTCGCACTGATTTCTGGTGGTGCACTCAATTTGAAGGTTGGGACGAACTCTGCTGCATTAGGATTTAACGTACTCTATAAAAAAAAATTTTTTTTTTAATATTATTTACCATTCTTTTAACATTGTTATGTGTAATTGTTATTAATAAGTATAAAAATAAGTGTATGTATATATTTCATGATCATTCTCCTCCTAAATATATTAATATATTAACGTTAAGTTTAGAAAGTCTTAATGTTAATTTTTTACAGAATTACAAATTACATAAAACTGCATGATTCATACTATTGAATATATAGTGTAATTATATATAATGATATATATATTAATGACAATGTTGCAAAGTCTTTTAAAAATAATATGGAACAAATATCTGCAATTATATGATATAACTATTTCCTTTTCTCAAACTTCAATTAAAATAATTTGAAATAGCTCATACTTGTTTAGCAATGTCGTCATGAACTCGGAGACTATTGAGTTGTTGGCACAATTCAGCACCATTGTTTTCTGTACTTGTAGCTGTACACCAAGCACTGGAGGTTTGATTTCTTTCATGTTGCCTTTCTTCTTCCAACATTGCTTCTAAGCATTCTTCCATTAATTCTTCTTCTTCTAACTGTTGGAGTACCTAAAAGTAAATAAAATATTAATTTAGTATAATTTTTTATATTATTATTTTAATTTTAAAAGCATCTATTCACCTGCTTATCAAATTCTTCTTCATTTTCCATCCACATATACTCTGAAAAATCGTCCTCAGCTGTTGCTGGAACATCGGCATCTGATTCTACATTGTCCAAGTATGAAATGACACTGCTTTCATGCCCATAGTATCCATTACCAGAACCACCGGTTGGAATCTTCATTTTCATACCAGATTTATATTCAGTACTGAAATATAGTGATAAAATTTACTAATAAAATAATATTAAATCTAATGTATATGCATTAAGTAGATAGGGTTATGATAAACATCATTTTCTTATCTAATATTTTCTTAATTATTTAATTTTAGAAATAAAGTTTGAATAATTACAGTGTAGTTATTACATTTTATTAAAATTTTTTGCTTCATATTTTGAACAGTAGAAATTGAATAATAATATTTTAATTATTTTACAAAATAATTACAATAAAAACATGCTTTTTTGACTGATGATTTTGGTTTTAATTCATTTAATATTTCAGTCTTATTAATCAGACTTCTCCAGGATTGTAACAATACTCAATTAGTAATAATATTTAAGAATAAATTATCATAGTTGCTGGTCTATTTGATTAATCCAAGTCTACACATTATGAAGATCTTTAATAAAATAGAAATAATTCTATAATTTTCTTAAAAAGTAATTTTATCCAATCCAAATATCTGATTTTTTTTTCAAATAAATCACCGAGTATTGACCACAGAAAATGCGTAACCATGGAATATTAAGTTTTTTAAATCACTGAATCAAGGACACATAAAGAAATTTACAATTGGAATATAATTAAAATGAAATGCCCCTAAAGTTTAAACTAAAGTGACCAAACATTCGATCAGTGCATCAACGCTCATGTATTACTAATTCGTAATTTAATAACAAATACTCATGAAAGTCGAGGACAAAATCCATTTCATAAGCAATACCATAACAATATTGTACCTTGCACAAAATCGGATTAAGCTCGAGAAGGACGATGAAAACGTAATTGTGTACGGATGGTCGGAGAAAAAGAAAAGGAGAGAAAGAATGAGTGAGTGAGGGAGGGAAGGAGGGAGGAAGGGGCTGACCAGACTCAACCTTGGTGTCCTCTCTCTTTTCGGCTCCACTGCTACCAAGCAGAACATCTCTCATTCTCTCTCCTTGAACGCGTGTACAATATATGTCTCTTTATGTGTGCGCGCGCGTGCGTGTATGCATGCATGTGTAAACGGGAGCCGCGCCTCGCGCGCATACTAATACAAGTGCGTCAACCCTTCGTGGCACTATAAACACTAATGCGACATCTCTTTTCCGTCCTCAAAGTGCACGTTTGATTTTTATTTTAAACTACTTATAGGGACACATCGTGGGACGACATCTAAACACTCGTTCTTACGAATAATTATGCCCTTCTTAAATCGTTGTCGCATTCACAACATATATAAATATATTAAAATTTATTTACAAGATAATAGAATTATGTTTCATGTTTGTGTACATATTATTTTTTGCAAAATCTTTTACTGTCTTCGTGAAATTTCTCTTTATGCTTACTAAACTATATTATAGATAATCCTCGGTTTATATTAAAATTTCTGAGCACCTTTCCTTTTATATTTCTTATTAATTTTTTTATTACATTATTGTTCTACTTTTAAAAATTTGAATAGTTTGCTATAGTAGTAAATATAGTAAGTAGTCAATATCATTATTCTCAATTTTACCTTGTACTATATTCACTATATTCTTGTTTGAACTGCAATATACAAATATTTTATAAATATATAATTATAATGATATTTATATTTTTTAAATTCAATTATCTGTTTTAAAAATGGATAAATACATTTGAAATTGACATTTGTTTGTTAAAATTTCCAATACCTTTTTGCTAAAATTTGCTTTATTAAAATATTTAACAAAGTATGCAGCTTTCGTAAAATATTTAAAAACACAAATAATATACAAGTACTTTATATCAAAGACATTAAAATAAATAAATAAAAAATTTATCGAACATAATTTTATATCATTGTATCTAAATTTACACAATTTCCGTTCTATTATTAACTGTCATACTATTAAATAAATTGATTGACTTATCGATATGCTAATTTATGTGTGCAAGAGCTGGCTATATAAGCTATGTAAATTCGGTGAATTGAAGGATCTATGTAGTAATATATAAACGCATCTTATCCGAAGGAAAATTAATATAAAGGCTAAAAAGTATAAATGTATAAAATATACCAATAAGAATACTTTAATGTAATAAAAAAATTTTAAAATATATTAGTAAAATGAAAAGGTTAAAAGTTAATTTTATATTTAAATTCACAATTTTTTGATTATTTTTAAAGCAAATATTTTTCACTTTTTGATAAAATATTTTATTATTTTTGGAATTCAATTAGTATAAAGCTGAAAAAATCTTTATTAAATGTATCGAAACATCGATAGATTTTGGATAAAAATTAAGTAAATTAGCCTCACTTGTACACCATTCCTGTTTTATAAATTAGTATGTATCACAACGATTTAAACGTTGTGAATACGTTGAATTTTTGTTGTTGTGGGTGTGCCTATGTTACTTCTTAATTTGCCATTTTAATTGAATTTTAATACTGGGAATTTTGAGGGAAAAACTTGCAAATCTAATCTATAAAATCCATAGCCAATATCGTCCCTCTACATGTCATTTTTTTTAATATTGCTCTAACCATCTTGCATGCTTTCTTCCCCCCCCCCCCCCCCACAGTTTTTTTTTTTTTTCTTTTTTTTTTTTTTTTTTTTTTTAACGAGCTTTACAATACATTGGCCTTATCTACTTTTATACGAGATAAGCTGGTCTTGATTATTTTTGTTTACAGTAGGTAACAAGCAAAAATATTTCTTATCGAAGATAAATCATACGATGGCCGAATTAAAAAAAAAAAAAAAAAAAAAAAAAAGGAACGGAAAACAATGTGTAATTACTCACGTATATTAATATTATTAAATTTATATCCTATCCTGGTAAACTATAATCTACTTAGATTATGTACCGTTGCTTACTTTGAGCTTAGATTTTTCGCAATAAATTAATTCAATCTTAGTTTTCAATATTGCTCTCCCGAGTCAAATTTAAATATGCGAGATTTCATGAAAAATTACTTCTCATTTCCGTTTTGAACAATATATATTGTTGTATACTTATATATATTCAATTATATGAACACACGAATAAATAATGTATAAAAGGCCTAATAATTTTCTTTTTTACATTGGTGTACGCGACCTCTGACAATATATCCAATTGTCTATTATCACGTAATTGATAATTTCAAGCTAGGTGATTCACAACTAATCTACAACTAGTTTGTCCATCCACTTTGCATATTTTTATCGTGTATAATTTGTATTTTTATAAAAATTAGTGAACCAGTCAATATTGAAGCGGTTATTTACATTCGAAAAAAGAATGTCCTAAAAGCAATAAAGCGACGTTTTTATAAATACACGCGTAATTTGCAAATCATGTATCGGAATGATAAAAATAAAATTATTATTTAAAAATAAAAATCTAATATATGTCCGGCTCGCGAATTGTCTAGGCGTGTGTCAATCACTCGTAAACAAATACACGAAGATAAGACAATAGATATAATAAAAGTTGGAAAGGCAAGAGCATAACATTATCGCGAATGTGCGCTTTGGATTATGTACGTCCGTCCATGCAGTCATACGTATCGTGTTGATTTTTACGTCCGTTGCAAAATCTAAAGAACAACGTCGGCGCCGACTCGGGATGTGAAAATGTCGGCGGCGAGCGTTGCGCTATCTCACTCGCTGACTCGCTGCTTTTTTCAACATCAATGCTGACCATCAATAGGAAAATTCATTCCCCGTTGCGCTTCCTCGCAATCGTTCGAAGAAGTCATCGCAAGTTGTACCTTCAGTATTATTAATGTTGCCTCGTACGGGAATCGCATCGATTTATCTCCGAGTGAGCGCAGCTGGCGTCTTTCTTTCTCGGTCCTTTTCCGAATACGTATTCGCGCATAGCTGAACGTACGTGTGTTTGAGGAGCGCTCAGGAATAAAAGACGAAGGACGGCTGTGCGCAATCGGCGTAAAGAAAACGCGTTTAACGTATCCATTTTCGCGTGGCTGGCTCATAGAGGAACGACGGATTGAAAGAATAAAGGAAGGGAGAGTTCATTGAAGAAAACAAAGGTCAATAATAATCCACTAGTGCAATGACAACAGACGTTAATTTTTTGGCGCTTCACGCCTTCTTTCACCTTCTGCTGCGCAACAAGAGTGATATATATGTCATGTGTTGTATATGTACATACACACGGGCACACGCGCGCGCATACACGGGCACACACATTTTATATAAAAATATATATATATATATATATATATATATAGGGAGGGAGAGAAGGGAGAGAAGGGAGAGAAAGAAAGAGAGAGAGAGAGAGAGAGAGAGAGAGAGAGAGAGAGAACACGAAGCAGAAACAAGATAGGTTGATTATTTATAAATGTTAGATTTTGGCCTAGCACACCGTAGCACTGATCTATCTTGTGTTTTCATGCACTTATGTATGAATATGCGTTACAAAGTATCCCTAGTGTAGCACCCACGACTTACCTAAGTTGCGCAAAAAGGGGCAAAAACTCTCCGACGATAATTACGTCGCACAACGTATCTTATCCAAAAACGTCCGGAACGACGTCGCACAATTCTAGCACTTCGGACGAACTTGATCTGGAGTGTGACCTGCGATGTGGGAGTTGTCGATGTGTATGTGCAAAGAGTTTTTTTCCCGAAAGTGAGCTGAGACTTCGCCTTTTGCTACCGCACTTTACTGCGCCGCGTTGCTTAGCTGCTCACTGAATTTGTTCTCTTTCTTCTACGCGCCTTTTACCACTCACTCGCTCTTTCGCTCCCTCGCGCTGGCCCCTTTCCAACTGTTTGCTCTGTTGTCTCTCGCTCGTACACATGTACACACGCAGGCACAGTCAGAGACGCGCGCGCACGCATTCTCTCTCTCTCTCTCTCTCTCTCTTTATTTTCCATTTCGCAAAGGTTGAGCTTCTAGCAACGTATGCGCTGACGGTCAAAATACATCAGGATGTAAGCTGCGTATCAGCGGCAATATTTCAATTGCGAAAATTCGAAATAAGTTGCTCATTTTATTCAAATTTCTTACCATGTTACATTTACTCTTTCTTTCCACATTGTAATTAATTCGATGATTTATTTTTCTTGAACTATCAATTATCGATATTTTGCTGCGGTAGCGTTGAACTCACGATATTTTACATGAAAAATAAATCAGACTGTATTTTTATCAAAAATATACAAGTAATATTAGTTTAACTCAAAATTTTTTTCGAATGTATGAATAATAGTATTCAAAATTTTATAAGAACCATAAAAAATATACGTTATTTCTGCCTGCATTTTCAAATATATAACTTGCTATTCAAATTTCAACTTAATCACCCTTTATTTTGATTTATTTTGGAATATAAACTAGTTAAAAGAAGATGCAATCACTCACACATAGTTTTTCGAAATATATATAATTTATATTTTTTATCCTCGCTATATTACTATTTGTTATTGTTGTCGTAGTTATGGTCGTTGCCCTAATATTAATTTTTAATTTAAATTAAAAGTATACAGACTTTATTTTGCAAGATTAATAACGAAGTAGATTTTTACAGTTCTTCCTCAATTCTTGCTATTTCGTTAATTATTATAATTGACATTTGTCGAATACTAATTGTTAAAAATTAATTGTCTAATAAATTGTGAATAAATAATTAACTGACTATTATGGATTACCTTCTAAAAATGTTTTAATTTAACTTAAAATAATGCTTTTTGCCACATTATTATTATTATTATGTTGGAAATTTTAAGGAATAGTATATAAAATCGAATTTCTAACAAAGAACAAAATGCAGTTTTCGAAACACGTGTGAGAAATTTACCGTCGAATTACGTTTCACTGCGTCAATATTTTCAACAGTACCTGTGCGTGTATATAACTAAGGTTAGCTTTGGCCGGTTTCTGTGACTGTGTGCTGTCATCTGCCGGCGAATTTTGTAGCGCGTTTATTTAATTTATGTTCTCTTTATTTATAATTTACATGATTTGCGCACGCATTCGACTATTTTATATCTTATCGAGATCAATTAATTAGGATATAAATGAATGAAGCGAGGTAATAGTTGACTAAAAAATTAATTACAAAATAATTTTTAAGATAAAAGAATGTCGTTTGCTTTAATTTATTGAAATTATTGTTTTAAGAATGAAATTAAATTATACTTTAAACAATATTTTGTAAAGTGGTATTATACATATTTTGTTTAAGTCACAAATCGCTTGCAATTTGTAGTACAGTCAAATAGTCAAGCGAAATACATTTCAATATTTAAATGTAATATAGTATAATTCTATAAGTCTTTGACTAAATTTATCATTTATGCATTTTAATAGAAAGCAGGCACGTCTGTATGCCTGAGAAATCATATTATATCAAGTGTAAATTATTTTCATTAGATTGTACAAAAACATGTGACTTAAAGACAAATTTTCAATTGGATATTTGATATTCACATATATTTACAACGCGAAATTACTTTAATTCTAATTGAACGTTGTAAGTATAACCTCATTATCATTTGTTATCACTGTCTGTGAAAATCCTAGAAAGAGTTCCAATTTATTTGATTACTTACTTATCTCGTTCTGTCTCCATCATAATTCCTTTATATTCTTTTAAATCATTGATTGGTTGCAATTGCGTTTCGTTAAGCATTTTGATGCACTGCAAAAATGTCAAAGTCTTAACCTTCAGTACACGTCCGATTGACGGTTTCTACAAGATGTGTCTTATAAATAGCAAAGAAAATGGCTTTGTTTAATGAACTTTCGTCGCTGCCTTTGTCTTATGGATTATTTTTAACTTTCAATCGTTGTAATAACTTACTTTTGCTTTTTAAAAGAGACTTGTACTACATTTACAGATATCTAATACAGAGAATGTCGAGTAAAAACAAAAAACAAAAATAAAAAAATAAAAGAATTATTATTAATATCTATAATATCGATACCAAGGGATAAATATTATACGATCATTCTTAATGAATACTATAATGAATTTACTTTATAAATTGTATTATACTCTTTGTTAGATATATTTCATACACCTAAATGTATCCGGTCAACGTTTAAAAACATACATTATTTTTATAATTAACAAAGTGGCCTTATTCTTCGAGTCAATCTTGTAATCGCCATTTAAGTATTATTTTAATATTATTTTTTTTGTTTGTTTATTTTTTGTTTTTTGTTTTTGTTTCTTTTCTTTTTTTTTTTTTTTTTTTTTTTTTTTTTTAATTTAAGCGTCATTCATTAGTCTTGCTCAACACTTATAAAACAAAAGCAAATAATAAAATTTCAGTATTAAATATTAAGATTAGTGGTCAATTTGTAATTCAGTCAATCGATTATAGTGACTGATTACATTTTGCTCCATTCATTTGCTAAATTTTTTTTTAAGATAAAAGCGCGTCTACGATGAGTTTCCAATAAAAAGTCTGCTTTCACGCTTAACGCTAATTCACTACATTCGGAATATAATTTACACTATAACATTATAAAAAGTAAATATCATCTATTGGCAGGGAAATATTATTTAACGTGTAATTTTCCTGTCCCGTATTTTATAATGTATGACGGAATGTCTCCTTGTCATTAGATGTACATAAGAATTTTTTCCAGAACTGTAGGCAAAATTAAGTTATCGAAGTCGTCGTGCTGTGCTTTGATTTTATGTTATTTTTGATAGGTGGTTAATAATATTTAGTATCGACCATAATACGCATTCGGAATAAGAGAAAAAAAAATGAAAAACAAAAATATACAATTAACACTATGACTATCAATATACTATTAATCCTGCACACTTTGTAACAAATAACTTTATTTGATATATAATAGCATAAATTTTCGGCTCAACGCCAAATGCACGATGAACCGAAGTAGCGGATAAAATTTATCTACAACGGGATACAAGTCTGGGGATAGCGGGTAGACGAGGCGTGATCGATAGATAACGTACAATGGATCATATACAGCCACCGCCAAACGTTTATCACGCACTTATTATTATCGATGGAAAGTAAATTCTAAAATTAACGAGGAACTAATTATCAATGCCCTTGTTCAACGATATTAACATTCATCGTAGTCTCCACTTATCCAAATTTCTCTTCTCAAGCAGAAAAAACCGAAATCGAACAGGTTCGTGTCGACAACTGCGATGCTACAGATCTTCAAGTGTTATTATTTACGTGTGCGATAAGCGTCGGCGTCTCTTCTTTTTGTCGTTTTCATTTATAGGGTCTTGGAGTTGATCGGGCTGGAAGTAATTGGCTGTCGAGAAAAAGGCGCGCAGAAGGTCATGCGTTTCTAGGATAGGAAAAAAAAATTCCGTGTGTCGACCTGCGGGGGAGCGTTGGGCGGGGAAGAATCATAATCAGCTATTGGATTTGGTCTGGTATGGGGAGCGGTAGGGCGGAGGACGCTTTTGAAAAGGCGCCGTTGTCGCGTTGACTCGGGCGGTGTTGCGCGCCGGGTGATGCGCGCCATCGGTCTGTTGACGTTCGCGGCATCCCCGAAGGTGGGGGTCGCCTTGGCTCGGTCTCGGTTCCAGTACCAAAACAAAGCGTAGCCGACGAAGCGCCATTCGTTCGCAGCACTCGGTCGAGGTAGCATCGCGAGAGGTCCGCACTCCTCTTTCTCTTCCTCTCCTCCGTCACCGTCGCCACCGCCGCCACTAGCAACACCACTACCAACGCCGCCGCCACCACCGCAGCCGCCTTTCCCCTCCTCTGCTCCTGAGACGAGCTCTTGTATCCACGCAGCAACAAACGACGCGCGATCCCTTTGTCTCCGGGCGACGGGAGGAGGAACCTGGGACCCTCGCTGCCAGGATGATGTCGTCCTCGACCATGGGGAAATCGGCCCCCGCTGAGGAGTCGCTCGGAGGTGAGTTTGCGCGGGATTTGACGGCCATGACCGCGGCTGTCTGTAAACACGCTCGTCTAGGTGGTGGTGATGCGAAGCAGCGCTCCAGAACAGCTGTCTTTTGTTTCTATCGGCGCGCGACTCTCCCCTTCGCCAGCGTCTGCCTGGTCGCGCCTGTTTTGATACTTCATGGGGCTCCATTCCAGTCCACGAAGGAAGATTATTTTTCTTCTGCGTGCATGCGTACGCACGTACGTGCGTACGTGTGTATAAATACTTTGCAATTATTAGGCTCTTGCGTCGTTTCTTCGATATTAAAAACCGTGGCGGATGTGGGCGGGAGGGGTGGGGGCAGTGGACTATCGAGCTTCTCGCAGCAGCAGCAGCAGCTTGATTTTGTTGTTGTTTTTTTTGGCCTATAAATCGTCATTATCGTTATTATATATTCTCCCAGATCTTATGATTGAGTTTCTTTCTCAGAACGGCACGCGTTCCTTTCTTTATCCAGTAGGATAATCGAGGAAATCTTTTGCATATCTTCTTTGCTGCGTATCGTAACAATGTACTTTTTCGCCGTTTCATATGGTAATGGAAATTTATTTTGTAAGTCCAATCGTCGTGAATCGAGTAGGTAGCCATTTACGTGACATACCTGTCTTTGTCAAACTGATTTCGAGTTCATAAAAGAGGAGGATGGTAATCAGAAACGTGTGTAGTACATTAACATATTAATTACGGCCTTTATAAAATGTTTACGAGCTTATATACTATTATAATTATAATACTATTATAATCTGTGCAGAAATCGACAATTCAAATAAAACAATAACAAATATGTTAATATTTACATCCATCTCAGGTGTCAATAAACGCTCTGAATTCAATATACGAGTTAACTTTTGAGAAGCTACAATTTATGACTACGAATATTGATATATTTTTTTTCGGACGACTACAACAAATAATTGTATTTTGCACGAGGAAAAGATTCAAAACGAACTTAATGTAATTTCAATCTCCACTTTGATAAGACGATTATTGTCTGTGACTCAAAAAAAGCAATAGGAGTATATATTCGTATGCCGTATCACCAGCATGTTAGTTTAATAATTTAAAAAGTTGTTATCCTAATTTCTTTTTAATGAATAAACATGCTGAATTAAAGAAATGACTGTGTTAACTTTGGTGTTTTTTTTTTCTTTTTTCAATTGTCCAGCATATAACTTTTGTTTTGTTTATGTCTCGTGTTTTTGCGACGCAAATAAAGTGGCATATTTTTCAATTTTTGTTTTTGACTCTTTAGCATGCATTTCTAATTATAAAGTAAAATAAATTATTAGAATGTCGCTATACTCGAGTTAATTATTCAAACACATTCATCTTTCGTGATAGAAATTTCGAAAATGTTTAGTTATGTTAAGAAGAAAAAAAGCCAAAAAGTGCTTTTTTTTAAATTGATACTACTAATTTATTATAACATACAAACAATTAAATATTTATACATGGCTTAAATATATAAATCTTTTAGAGATATCAAAATCATTATCTTATATACTTTTTCTATCCTCTACGTAGCGAAGTAATCCAACAAATTTTTGTTTCATTATCTTCAAAATTAGCCTCTACTTTCACACAACATATTAGTTAGATAATAATTCACTTGCGGTATATTTATTTATAAACTCGTTATGCACGCACTCATGTTAAACTTAAAGCCGCTATCCTTTAACAGAGACTAATTGTAAAATGGAAAAGAAGGCTTCGAAAGTGAAAGATTTAAATACCGAACAAAGACGAAGATCTGACATAAACATTATCCAAGAGTCGGTCAGGTATAACGGTGGAGGAGGAAGAAGCCATGAGGCACATAAAATTAGAAGGAGAAAGAGCAAAATTGAAATAGAGATAAAAGAAGGAGTGCTTTAGTGGGTGGATTTATTTTTAGACTAGATACTGTCAACCAATCAACGTATTTCTTTTTCATTAAGGAAACGCCGCATATGCTGTTTTTCTTTAAATAGCCTTTATTATTCAAAATACAATTATTGCAGTAACAAAACTAAATAATCCTGCTTGTTACTTGAACGTATAAACTTGCACAATAATCTATTTCTTTGCTTAATTTATGAGAGTCGAATGTACAAAGAGTATTTTATTTTCAAATGTAGCCTCAAAATGAAATAAAATCGTACGATAATATCGTAAAAAATTATTATTCGTCGTATGAATATAAATTTATATATATAATTGTAATTACTTTGTAAATAAATTGTGAAAATTTCATTAAATTTAAAGCATATAGTAAATCTTATACGAAACAAGATACCAATGAAAAACCAGGGTTCCATCAATTCTTTTATTTGATTTTGAGAAAAAACTCCTTATAGTTACGAAGATTTAAGATATTGCAATTTTGAACTCGCAAATTAAATTATATTCGTTATTATTTTAAAATAATCGGATTATGATATTCTTAAAAATGATGTATAAAATTGAAAATTTCATTCTTTCATATTATATTGTTATTTTATAACTTCGCCTTATTTTTGTTTTAAATTTTATAAAAGTTAGTGTAATATATCTATAGCTGGAATTACATTTGTCGACTTAGTTCTTTTCGATGCCTATCAACTGTTATTCATTCCACATTGGTAAAGTATGAAGTAACTCCAACTAGATCACAAATGTTAAAAGGAAAAAATACTATATTTACTTCGGTGTTCATTCGTAATATGTAGATGCAGTTACTTAGAATAATATACTTACTCTTTAATTTGATTTATTTGTTGTAAACTAACGTTGTTCAAACAATAAAGTGCAACACTTTTTTTAAGTAAATTTATAGAAATAAATTTTTTATATATTATATTATATATAATATATATATATTTATATATAACATATATATTGTTATATATAATATATATATATTTATATATAACATACACATTTTTATTAAAAAAAAAAAAAAAAAGACGACACACATTAAAAAGTATGATTATTTAATACAATTTTACAATATGTAATTTAATACAATATGTATATAATACAATTTTCAATTTCTTAAGATCTCCAAAATAGTTTTACTTCAACGCTTTTTTTTTATCTCGTCTCCGTCTATACTACATTCGTTATTTTTCATACAATTTTAGGAATATCTCTTAATAAAATTATTTTCAACTGGTTGCGCAGGTAGTAAAGATATAAAATTTCCATTGTGACGTTCAAAAAATGCAATTTTTTTTTGCCGATTCCTAATAATTTTCGAAAGAGCCCTGCACTTCCTTTTAATGAAGCTGCATTTATAGCAAATTTGTAACTTACAAGAATAACACGTCATTCGAAATTCGGGAAGGCATAGTAAGAGCAAATAATATCTTAATAACAATACCGTTATTTTAATAACTATACAGTATCATATTCCAATATGTTAAATTGAAACAGGTTAAATTCCATTGAATATTACGCTTTTACTTTTCTTACATATTCATTGTCATATAAATAACAAGCGTCAATGCATATAGTAATATGTGACCAAATTTCTGATGCGATTTGCCCATGCGTAGAGAAATGAGCAGGGCATGTTCTAAGCTAAGGAGGTTACATCTCGTTGTGGTCCGAGGATTGAGAAAAGTAGAGGCGAGGAAGAAAAAGAGAAAAAAAGGTGGAGAGCATTCCGCTGGTACTGTGTTTGTTATTATGGCCGAGGAACATGAGAGAGCTGTTGCTGTCCGGGCGATGCCTCCTTCTACTGCGTCGAAAATTTCTTTCGATTGGGGAATGCCACGGAAGGATGGCCTCTTGTTACTTTCGAAGCAGCGCTGCAAATTATAAGTTCGCAAACTAATCGTTCGAGAAATGCATGTCTATTCTGCTTATGCGTATTGTTACAAATTATTCGATTTCGCAAGGTTTGCTTTTTGGATATTATCGAATCGTAGTGCGCACAAAATAAAATATCCTTGACTGTTTACTTCTATGTCATAGCTGGTCTCACTTACAGAAAGAGACCTTCCCTCCTTTGTTTTCAAACGAAATTGATACTTAAAACCTTTCTGAGCAATTTTTTTTTTTTTTATCTTTTCTTGAAACAAGTCTATGATTCTCGAAACATGTTTTTAATGAGAATATCGTAACATAGTCATAATAATGATTAAATATCTTCAAATTATACGAAATTGTTTTCAATTAACATTTTGCTTTAAAAGCTTATGATTTTTATTAAAAATAAATTAAATAATAATCCGTTAGAAAATTGAGCTGGTGAAAAGCTGTTTGAACAACGATCTCTTGATAAACTCTTTAAAAGAGTAATAAAGGCTTAAGTTTTAAAGGCGAATGTGACATGTGTTGCAGGTAATTGGCATTAAAAACCTGACCTTTTAATTTTTAATATGTTTTATCGTTATTAATATGACAATTTCTTAATTGTTTTACGAAACTTCGAAACTTTGAATAGAGATTGAAGTGCAATAGGCCATTTGCAACGCCAATTAAGAGAAATGATTTATGCGATTTTTGGGGCAAACAATCGAGAGGAAATTAGCGATCAATGAGTGAAAGCGTAAAAGCGGTACAGGTAGATTTTTCAAGCGGACCTCCAAACAAAGAAAAGTCAGGGAAAGGAATTACGCGCAAGGTGATCGTTTTAAACCGATGCTGAAAGGAAGCAGTAGGCCGCAAACAATACGATGGCAGTCCTTCGACGACCTTCACCTCCAGCTGCCGCAGTTATTATGTTTTTGTATTAAAGCAAGCGGTGGTGGGAGTGACGATCGGTATCTTCGGGGTTGATCTAACGGTGGCGCTGCGATGAGTTTTTACAACTCGGTAATTGTTTAAGGGATTAGTCGTCGTCGTATGTTTTGTGATTACGCTATTGTTTACGTTTGCACTTTGATGACTCCCAGTCTGTGCATATAAGCAAACGTTGCAATCCGGCTCGTTAGTTGGACGTGTCCTTTAATTTTTAACGGAGGTCACAATTTCGTCCTCGACAACATTGCTTTATATTCATTGAA